ACTTTTCTATGAATATTTTCAGGGTAATTGTTCTGATGAGCTTTAATCTTTGACAACTCACCTTCACAAAATTAAGGACAGTAAAAGATTGGCAGCTAGGTCTCATAATTTCAATCAAAATTGCTAGTAAGTTGTATGCTAATAGTTCTTCTCCCGCACTTCTCACTTATGAAACTCTTTTTAGGCTTTCTACTCTCCTGTCAACTACGACTTCAAAAATTTAAATGGAATGTCAACCTTCATATGTCTCCTTGAACCCTATTCTTTTTATTGTTCTCTCTGTTTCTTTCACTCTCAGTAACCCCTTGCTTATTAGCGGCTTTTATCGTCTTGCTCGGGATGAAATGATTAAAAAGAATAATAAAAAAACATAATGGTTGAACAATTTTCATCTGAAGATATAAATTAAATATTGTTGCTACTAATACTTTTAGTCTAGTATCTAACTCTTATTTTTCTCATTCAACCATGGAGTAGTAATTAGCGAGCTAGTGAAGTATGAACATTATTATTAGTGTTCAATCCTCACTGAATACAAAATCTTCCCTCTAACCCTATACCAGACCAAATTAACATGAGTAAGTATCAGAATACTTTCTATTGTATATTCTGTATTTGACGGCATAAAAAGACTTTTATTGCATTTAAGCAGTTAATGCTTAAAACCAACTATAAGCAGATAGCGATTTTCCAAGCGTAGCTCGGATGTGGCACAAGGCCGAAAGTATGGGTCACCCAGTGAGGATCGAACTCACTCGTAATTGTTCTAGCGAGACAAGCTTGCTAACCATTACACCACCTCGAGGCGCCCAAACTATAAGCAGATAGTAAAACATGACAAAATCACTTCAGTGATGACAGTAACATATATAAAAAAAGCAAGATGGCTATACAGATGAAGATAAAAGCAAGAAATCACAGCAATGAAAATATTTCACATAATTACAGTCAAAAAGCATGGCAAGCGAAAGCAAAGCAGAAAACATTTTATAAAATGCATGCTCTCAATACAACTGAACATAAGCCAAAACACGATAAGGCAATGGGGAATTACATTTAGCGTTTTCTAATAATAAAAAAAGTCATTGTTAAAGCTAGAAAAATTTTTATCATCAAAGCCTAATTATTCGCTATTCCTATGAACATTTTTCAATTAATCCGTTTTCTTCTGTTCTATCAAAATACATTGTTAATATCAAACTTCTTAAAAGAACCTAGAGCAATTTCTGTTCTAACATCGCCAGTACATTTTATGATTATTTCGTTTACATTGCTATTAGTATTGCTACTAGTGCTACTAATACTATTTAAAATAATAATAATAATAACAACAACAATAACAAGCAGAAGAAAAAGAGAAATACAGATTTAGACCTTGATTTCAACTACAAGATTAAAGAACTAGACCAAGATGGTATATACAAATATTTAGGCATTAATAAAGGAAACTGAATACAATATTTAGTTATGAAGAAAAAGATCCGAAAAGAATATTATAGGAGCATGTGTTAATCCATTGCATTCACTTACATGCTAATACCCTTGGGAAAGGTGTAAATCCTCTTTTCCCCCCAGCTATGGGTAAATAGCAGGACAGATCGGGTTCTCTAGCCTTGGATGGCAACTAGTATACCGCAGAAAGAAATGACAACCTACTGCGGGAAAAATTACCTCGTCAGTCATGTATCGAAAAATACATGATCGCTTAAGCGTGTATCACGAATGCCACATAACTGACTGACTGAACATGCAGCTTCAACATTATTAAATGGAAGTTGAATGACATTGAAAGAATGGATGCCAAGACCAGAAAAATGCTTACTCCAATGAGGATGCACCACCCGAAATCAGACGTTGATAGGCTGTACGTACCAAGAGCTTTAGGAGGCCGAGGTATAATCCATCTTGAACTAATTCTAAAACTACAAGCATATCTCACAAAAAACAATGACCGTCTACTAAAAACAAAAACAAAAAACAAAAAAAAAAAAAAAACGAAGTGAACATCATCTACGCCAACCGAGTAAAACAGAAAGAAAAACAACTTGAACAAATGAAATAAAAAAAACAAAAAACTATGAGAACAAGGCGTTGCTTGGCAAATACATAAAAAGAACGAAAGAAGCAAATGTGGACCAACAAAAAAAAAAAAAACACATCAGTAGCTGAAGAGCACGGGGTTGAAAGCTGAGACAAAAGGCCTAATTATTGCAGCTCAGGGCCAAATCCTGGCAACCAGATCATATCACTGTCACGTAATCACGAATGGAACTAACTCGAAATGCGGGATCTGCGGAAAATATGATGAAACGTATTATTCCAGGATGTCCGGAACTAGCAAAAAAGGAATATACCTGCAGACATAAAAAAAAGTAGCGACATATGTGCATTGGAAGATATACAAGTACAAGAAGCACAAAATCAAAAACACTGAGAGATGGTATGATCACCAACCAAACATAGTTACTCAAAATAACGCGATGTAACGATCCTCTGGGACATGCCAATTCAAACTGTCAGAGAAATAAATGCCAAAAGACCTGATATTATCATAAAAGAAAAGCAATTCAGGAAGTGTATGCTTATTGACATAGCATTACCATCTGAGAGAAACACCACCATGAAAATCATGGAGAAAGTGTCCAAATACAAAGACCTGGAGATCAAGATGAACAGGATGTGGGGAATGAAGACTGAGACTATACCAATAGTAATCGGAGCTGTGGGTCATGTGAGAAAATCAATGGGCAATTTTAGTAAAAATGTCTCGCGTAATATCAAGATACATGTTGTCCAGGAGATCACCCTAATCCCATATACTAAGAAAAGTGTTATCAATTAAATGGCGATTCTCCTAGATGGCCTAAAGACCATAGTTTGGACCCGGCTCTACAGGACAGAAAGCAGGAAACATAACATATAATAATAATAATAATAATAATAATAATAATACCGTTAGATTCAATAACATTATTTAGGTGTTGGGCGAAGCAGAAGTGACAGTCCGGGGTAAAATTATAGTCTCCGCTAGTCAGCATTGGGTATAAAATTAGCTTGGATGCCTCGACCTCGCATATTAAGCGAGTGGATGATTTTTCTAAGCTATTAAATCACACACACACACACACACACACACACACACACACACACGCACGCACGCACGCACGCACGCGCGTGTGTGTGTCTGTGTTTGTGTGTGTATGTATATTTTGTGCGTGCGTGTGTGGGTGTGTGTAGACATAAATATCTACGCTACACGGCGACTGTCAGTTACACGCCTCACTTCGCTCTTCAGAACAAGTATAACTACTCTTTTAGTGGGTTGTATATATCGGCTTGTGTGCGTGTGTGTAAATCCGGAAAGGATTAAAGAAAGTGCAGCTGGAGGAAATATGCACTCCTCGGCTTCCTTTTTTATGGATAATGCTGATGATCATTTATGGGTTCGTTATGCTAGTTGGGTGGTTGAAGGAAGTGTGAAGGTAAACAAGCAAGTTTTCCAGATTGTTTACACAACACACACACACGCACACACAAACATATATATATATTATAAATATGTGTATTATTTTATACATGCATATATATATAATTTTATATATACATATATATATTTATAATTTATTATATATATATATATATATATATATATATATATATATATATATATATATTATAATTTATTTTCACAACATCGCCGACGTGACGCCGACGTGATCGTATTGCGAAACTGAACGCTGATCTTAAAATTTCAGTTATTCTGTTTTGATTAGTCTTATGTCTATCGTCTTTTCATGTTGACGTGAATATCGTCTAATATTAATTATGTTTTAATAACTCTGTCCTGAAGAAGGTCTACTAGACCGAAACGTCGACATTGAAAAAACATTAAAACAGCATACTTGAATATTCGGATTTTTGTTTTCCATATTTTTCTTCATACATACATATATATATATATATATATATATATATATATATATATATATATATATATTATTTTTACATACTAGACAAGTATTATTCAAGCGTTGTGAATGAAATTGGGTAGACGGAGCTGTTCAGAAACCGTCGATGGTTGTACTAGCATGAAGTCACAAGTCATCGTGACCGAGGGTTCGTCGTTGTTCATATTACTGAAAATGACAGATTATACTCTCCTGCTCCCAGAAATTGGAACTAAGATTTGCTCGATATTGTTGCAGTATAAATCACTGGTGGTCGAACAAACGCAAAAGTGCCTGAACAGACGTCCCCAACAGTGATTGCTGTTCCATATATGTTTTATGTTGCGTGTGTATGTGTGGGTGCGTGTGTATGCGTCTGTATTCACAAGTTTCAAATTTAGACATACAAAAATAAAAATAATATGGAAATAGTTATTTGATAGACCGACGTTTTAGAAAGTGAAGTGGTCCATAAAGAGTTAATTTCACTTACTGACTGTTCTTTTCAACCAAATTTGTGTCTTAAAATAGTTACAACGGCAGCTGATCAATACTAATTCGCAGATATTTCTGTCGCTTTTCAAACCCTTGTTAATAATTCCCGCCAGCCGCCACACTTGCTATATTCAGTGCTCTTTAACCATTTAATTTTTTTTTAATCGATTCACCCTAAGCAAGGCGATAATGCTACTTAGATACAAAGGACTACTGGGTGTTAAACAGAATGAAAATATTTTAAGAAACGGATGCCCAAGCTTAAACAGAACAGGAAATAAGAGATGAACCTTTACCCCTGTTCAAAAGACCGAGGAGGAATTTGAAACGGACGATAGGCGAAACTATCCACTCCTATTAAGAAGAAGACGAAGAAGAAGAGAGAGAAAAGAAGTAATTGATTAGTAAATAAAATTTCAGAGTTAAGAGGGAGACGTCAAAAGTATAGATATGAAGCAGACTTTAGAAGTAACCGGAAACCCAATCCTAAATAAGAAATAAGGGATAAACTTCTATTCCGGTTCAAAAGACCAAGGTGGATTGTGAACCTGGCGATAGGCATATCTATCTATCTATCTATCTATCTATCTATCTATCTATCTATCTATCTGTCACTGGCGTGTTCATTCAAAGAATGAATACGCAAAAATTCACCCTTTTCTCTACCGAAAGCTTGAGGATAAAATCTCCGACTGCTGTCGAGCCAGTCGGGTTTCGATCTCGGCTTGAGGCAATCGGATGTCTAACCACACTGATGAGCTTTGATACAGCGAAACAGTCTATCTGTGGATGACTATATATATATATAAAGAGAGAGAGAGAGAGAGAGAGAGAGAGAGAGAGAGAGAGAGAGATCTGCGACAGCATATATGCAAGTTTTATATTTTAGATTACCATGGCATAGGAAAGAACTTATTACTATCTTTTATGGCTGGAAATAAAGATGTCGTTGAGAATGTATATTGCAGATGATTGTCAATATAAGTCACTGCTCTTAATTATCTCAAACAGCACGAACTACTTAAGATACATCAGTTAAACTGGTAGTGTTTGAGGTGAACTAACATGGTTATTGTGTAACGGAGATTCCATACATGCAATAAATATCTTCACAGTTAAGTGAATAAATAATTAACGAAGCAAAATTTTGCATTCCTCGCTTATAAAAACACTGTAATTATTTCATAACTCATTAGTCACGATTAACTGTTTCTGCATAAAACTGGCGATGGCAACAGTGGCGTAAATTGTGTAAAAAAATGAGAAAACAAGAGAAACTCATGGAAAAAGAGTTAGGTTATAACATTCTGTATAATAAATACTAAAAAGAAGATACCCCTTAATAGCTGACCGCCCTACTACAGCGGTTAGGAATATTTTTGTTTGTTCAACACCCACAGATGTGGTTTATACTGCAACAATGCTGAGCGGACCTTAGTTACAGTTTCTGGGAGAGAGTGCGTCATCTGGCGAATATCATCAGCCTGAATAAGGCTAGCACATTCAAACCCTCCGTCAAACAACCATCGATGGCTTTCAATTAGTTCCATTTACTCAGTTTCACTCATTTGGCTTGGGTCAACTCGTGGTGTGGTCTTCAGACACTTTCCAAAGATGCCGCACGCTAGGGCCGATAACATCAATAAGTCAACTTTCCGACAAATCGAGTCTCATGGTCAGAAAGAGAAAGTTCTACCCACACAGCCAAGTTCCCTTATCAAATACGCCTTACTCCAGGAAATATACTTGACTTGTTATTAACATTTACTCGCTATTTCCTTTGAAATCAACGTCTTCATCCTGAAAGGCTGTCTAATACCGGCTGCAATTTGTTATGCTTCTTGATTCGTGTTCTATTAGAGATGTGATGGATTACTTGGCGACGGTCCTCAAGAGTGTGATCAGGAATTTCCCCTTTCATTTTTGTCGGCTTTGCTGATGATCGATCACCCAGAGCGTTCATTGTCTTGAAAACTTTACTGGCCTTGACACGAGCTCTATTTTATCTAAGGAATATATGCCAAAAGCCTGAGGAATCATTTCATGCATCTCGGTAGCGGGATTACCGAGCTTGACACGAAACTATATTGTTCGACTTTGTTAAACATCGTAAGGATCGCAGAGCCGTTCCAGCACAATGTCACAAACCCCGCGTTATTACTGAGAATACATAAATAACAGGAAGCCTATTGGAAGAATTAATCTGGTGAATGTATAGCAATGAGCCTTAACTATGTACGTATGTCTAGTGAATAGTATAATCACAGCAGATACGTCCATAATTTATTTGAACTAGTGTCCTTATCTGGGTCTTTATTATCAGTTATCTTCAGCCTAATCTCATGTATTGGGCAAACTTCTCAGGATTCAGGAGCATAGGTGAGATCACTCGTGTCAGCAGACAATAAAAGGAGAGGGTAAAGACAAATTTATTGGTTTATTAAAACTTTAGAAATATTAATTTTTAAACGTTAAAAGCGCGTAGAACATATTTTCTAATCTAAAGTCACAAAACCAATGAGTGTCGTGGCACTATATTTTTATTATATATATTTAAGGATGCGGGCGCTTAAGTCGAAATTGTTATTATTTATTGAGGACTATTTTTGTTGTATGAGTACTGTTTATAGAAGCATTATATATATATATATATATATATATATATATATATATATTGCATGTTTTATCTTTTTTATATATATGCATGTTTTATCTTTTGATCTATTATATATATATATATATATATATATATATATATATATATATATATATATATATATATATATATGTTAGCTCTTTAATCCAGCTCTCTTGGCCCAGAACCTCACAAAATGCGGGAAAAGAGAATGGCGTACAAGCAGAGCGAAATATTTTAAGAAATAATTTGAATAAATTAGAATAAATGAAAAAAAATATTTGTGTTTACTTCTGCAGTATTATTGATTCTTTTAACAAATAACTTAACACATTGCATCTGAGACGTCACTTAGGATATCTGACTTCAAACGCCAGCTTCATAATGGCCAACTTTGGCTTCAACTGAATTCTTAATCTTGTTCTCACATTAAAGTACCACTGCGAATAAACTCATGTTTGAAACTCGCAGATAAAAATGTATTAGAAAATTCAAAGCACGAGTTATCACGATGTTGGCAGTCAATGTGTTAAAATATTCAGAAAAACATAATAAATGCATGTTTTCTTTTATATTAAAGTGAGCATCATAAGTCGTCTAAAGTTTTCGATTCAGTTTCAAAATACTGTTAGGTTTTTACACATTCTCTTTAACGAATCGGTTTCTCAATCTGTAAATTACTGGGTTGAAATCAAAGTGATGAACTCTGGTGGTGAGTCCACAAACTAATGGCAGTCAATTCAAAACGTACTAGACCATCGGTGTTGCCGGGCCACAGATAGCCGGATTAGAGAGCTATTTATTTACTTTTATACTTGCTATTTTAATTAAATGCATTTTTCTCTTTCTTTTTTTTTCTTTATAGGTAAGTGATTACCTTTTTGAACGTAACACAGAAGCTGAGGTTTGGAATCTCTTTGTTTTATGTCTTCGTGCATGGAGAAAGTTTTTCATTTCAAATATTCATAGAACCATTGTGAATGATTGCCTGTAGGAAAGTGCTAAGTAAAGTAAATGTTTTTTTTTTATTCTATACATTCAAACAACCATATGGAGGGATATATTTCGTTCTGGTTATCAAGAAATTCTTTGGCATCTGTTGACCAAAAAATTGGTACAATCAATTGTTTTCCAGAAATGTTAACACATTCATAAATATTATAATTCGCTTTAGGGGTACCATTCATATTTTCATTTGTAAATAATACCATCCATAGTCAATAGAAATTAGAGAAGTATTAAGATTAGTAAGTAGTAAGATGTTTCATTCCCCGCGACCAATGTCATGTTGGCATCGACTTCCACCTCTCTTATTGCGTTGATGAAGGAGCTGCCGCAGGGTTGGAATCACCGGGTCCGGGCGGTTTCCTCACCTCAAATGGGGAGAGAACAGATACTAAGCTTTGATCTCAGCCAAAAGGCCGAGAAGCGATTTTATTTACATGACCTCACCACTAATGCAGTTGGTAGCAGAAAGTCATTTTTTTTTTTTTTACGTAGGCTTCTCATACAGATATATATGTATATAGGTCAAGGACAAAAACTGCACAAATACACGCGACCCCGGGATCGGAGGAGAGAACAGATAGTATACTTGTCCTCAACTCACGTGATGGAATGTGGCACAAGGCCGTGTCAAAGTGAGGAGGCCAAGCGCATATAGATGAGCCAACTCCCAAAATTGCACAATCCCTGCAACCATTTCGAGTTGATATTCCACCGAGCCTCCCTCTTTAGTGCAGTGAGGGAGGTGTGGCCACAGTGTTGTAATCTCCGGGATCACGCATCCCATATTTATTCGTTGTCGCCTGTCCGAAGACGGAAACATAATTGAGAGATAAAATGTACTCCATCCGCCCGAAGGAAGATTGTATTTACTTACTGCGCCAAGCTGGCAAGATGTGACACAAGGTCAGTTTAATGTTGGGAGCCCGAGCGTGTGTACCCAGGCTACGTCTAAAAATCATCAGTATTACAACCAATTCTCCCTCTTTAGTGCAATGAGGGAAGTACTGCTGCTGGCGGCTGTTCCCCGGAGACAAAGACACAATTTACTTGCGCTCTGTCCAAAGACAGAAAAAAAAACAACTGAGAAACTATCCGACTGAAGGCAGATACTCTACTTTAATCACGGATAAACGGTCTAGAAATGATAAGTACGCTATTCTTTATGCAACCAATTTGCCTGTTCTGAATTTCGAATTGAACAGTTTATTCAAGCGACAGTGATATATTGTTTTAATTCCGCTTTTGCAGATAAGGGAGATAACTCGTATTAATTAACTCGCCATCCTGCTACTCTTTGTTCCTTAACAACAATACATGAATTTTCCCGCATCATCAAGGAACTGAATTCACGACAACCGAATAAATGGATGCGCTTAAACTTAAGCTTATTTCTAATGCTAACGAGGTTTAGTAGATTAAACGATCGTCAAGTGAAAGCAATGCATTGGTATAGATTCTTTTTTGAAATTCCGTGAAGGTTAACATTAGAGTAGATACCCGAAAAAGGCCGAAGAGTACAGCAACCAAAATTATGTGACCATAACTATCAAGATTTATGGATTGATGAATTTGTTTTTTTATGGCTTATCAACATTTTGCAGGTTATCTAAAGCCAGAAATTATTTTTAGATTTTAAGAGTATTTACTAATTACCCAATACCTGGGTGAAAAGTGCTGGATTTATACCTTTCCCAAAGGTATTTCCTCGTACGTGAATAAAACGAACCCGACTGGAATTGGAACTTGCCTCTCCGATTTCTACTTACGAGCATTTATTCATTACACTACCCACACATCCAAACTTACAACACCTGGTATTCCTAAGCGGTTACTAATGTAGGTACTGATCAGGTTCGACGTTGCTTAACTTCGTATGATAACCGGTGTTTCAACGTGATATGGGCGTAAGCATACAATGAAGATGATGTCACATAAAATCAAGGTGATGTCACAGTTTGAATTGATCAGTTTGTAATGA